TTTCTGTTCTGGGAGTCACACTGGAATAAGTGATTTGAATTAAGACAGGAGATTTAAATTCATACATTTACATTAATTTAGTCACCACATAGGTATGATGTGGAGTCCTACTCTGTGCCAAGCATGCATGGTGCGTACAGCAATGAGTAAAATAAAGTGTCTGATCTAATGGAGTGTCCAGGCACTGAACAGAGTACAGCGAAGACTACATACAGATTTAGTTTCTAACTTTTAGTAAAACACAGCCAGAGACCCAAAGCTGACACCCCTTGCTGGCCTCTCTCAGGTACTTTGAACTGCAAGATTGCAGAAAGCTGTAAACACCTACAAAGCCCTGACCTCGAGTCTACAGTTTAATTTTAGATAGCCAAGTAAAACCTATCATACCCATTACAGGCAACATGACACACACACACACACACACACACACACACACACATGCCCCACATGCCATCATTCAGAGGCACTATTGATACACAGGAACTTTTAAGGCTGTTGATTCCTCCAAGGGATGGGCCTGTAGGTTCTCAAAGGACTCTTCCTGGTGCTGAGGGAGCCTCTTCCATTTCCTTGCACCCGTTCTGCTGTTATATTCATACACATTACCAGAGACTGTAGAAAAGAAAACACACAAAATAGGAATAGCAAATTATGACAAACTTGAAAAACATTCACTCAGCACACAATGTTTACTGAACATTTGCTATATAGCCCAGAGGGTGACAAGTTTGGCTTCTCTCTCTTTACCAATTATGTGTATTTGGTTATGTTTACAGTACCACACATGAGTTCCCTCCCATTGAGAGGGTTTTAAGTACAATTAGCTGTTACAGAGTTCCACAACTGATCACACACAGAAAACACATGTCTGAGAGATACCCTAAGTAACACATCAACAATGGAACCTCTACACCAAAGGCTCATGGAACAGGGGGTAGAGAGAATACTAATGCATCTCTCAACTCTTACCAGCTTCCTCCTGCAACAGAGTGTGATGAACAAAGAAGGTCACAACTGGCCAAAGTGTAGACAATAAGAGACTGCAGAGCACATGTCTCTGGACAGGACTCCTACATGTGATTTTATGTGTATTTAAAAATTGGCCCTTCAAGTGGAACTGTGACTGACAGCTGGGTGTGGGGGAATTGATCTTCTTTAAGGGAGTGATACTAGATAGGCTGACTAGACTCATGGATGAACTTGCACTAAAGGACATCTGAGTACAAATGCTTGACCAGACAGGTCTTAACATATGTGACAGAATACATGAAATGGGAGGGGGGGTTATGGGGGGATTGCAGATGGGGAGACGGTCTAAATATGATTAAGATATACTCTATGAAATACACAAAATTTCAATAAAATTTTCTGTGTATGAGTGTTTGCCTGAATGTAAGTGTACCATATGTGTGCAATGCCTGCAAAGGCCAGAAAGGACCATCAGATCCCCTGGAACTGAAATCACAGACCATTGTTACCCTTCATGTGGGAACTGAGCCTAGGTCCTCTGCAAGAGCAGCCAGTGCTCTTAACCGCTGAGCCATCTCTCCAGCCCCCCATGTTTGTTATAATTTGACATTAGAAATAATCTAGAAAATCTTGTGATATGTCTGTAACTACATAGTCACATATAAACTGTTTCAGTGTGCAAAAAATAATCATGATAAAGTTTAAAAGTGCATAGCAGCATTATTTACATTAGCCAAAAGGAAGAGCAACATGAGGGTCCACTGATAAATGAATAGTGAACAATACATGCTGTATACGTACTATGGAGTGTCATCCAACAAAAATAGAAGGAAATTCTGACCCTTGCTAAAACATGGGTGACACTTGACAACATTACACTCAGTGGAATAAACAATAACAAATAAACAAATATTGCAGGATTCTACTTAGAGAACTTACGCAGCATAGTCAACTTCATAAAGACAGAAGTATAATATTGGTTATCGTAGGCCAAGTGGAAAGAGGGATGGGAATGTTGGCATAACGTCTCAGTGAGGAGGATGGACTCATGAAGATAGACTGCAGTAATGGGTACACAGCAGTGTGAATGTGTAGACACCACCACAGAACTGTTCATCTAAAATTGATTCAGGGGGTTGAGGAGATGGCGCAGGTGGTGAGGTGCTGTACAAGCATGAGGACCTGACTTCAGATCCCCATATACATAATATGGCAAAGGGTTAGTGGCTAGAATATACAAAGAACTCAAAAAACCAAACACCAAGAAAACAAGCAACCCAATTAAAAATTGGGACATGGAAAGAAACAGGGAATTCTCAGAAGAAGAAATATAAATGACTGAGAAATATTTTTTAAATGTTCAACATCCTTAGCCATCACAAATATGTAAATTAAAACTATTTGGAGATTTCCTCTTACTTCAGTCCAAAGTAATGTCTCTGAACACAAGATTTCAATTCTGAAGATATAGTCAGAATGGCTAAGGTTTTTTAAAAAGACAGCAAATGATGACTTGAATGTGGGGGTAGGGGATCACTTATTACCTGCTGATAGACACACAAAATGGAGAGACCATTATGGAAACTAGTGTGGAGGTGCCTCAAAAAGCTAGAAATAGATCTATATGACCCAGCTATACCATTCCTAGGCACATACCCAGGGGACTCTAGCTCCTATGATGGCAATACTTTCTCACCCAGATTCACTGTGGCTCTATTCACCATAGCCAGGAAATGGAAACAACCTTGATGTCCATCAATGGGTGGATGAATAATGAAAATATGGTTCATATATGTGATGAAATATTATTCAGCTTTAAAGAAAAATGAAGTTATGAAATTTACATGTAAATATATGGAGCTATAAATTATCATTCTCAATGAAGTAACTCAGATCCAGAAAGACAAACACCAAGTTCTCCCTCATGTGTGGATACTACCTTTGAATCTTTAGATATGTGTGTTTAAATTGCAATATCCATAAAAGGCAGGAAACTAGTAAGGAGCCATGGGGAGGGAGGGACTTCAAAGGAAGGGGGGTAAATGCAGGTGGGAAGAGAGGGGAAAGCAGAATAGTGGAACAGGAAAGGATAAATAGGGTGGGGAATGGAAGGGCAGGGTAAAAGAGGGAGAATGAGGGCTGGAGAGCTGACTCAGAGGTTGAGAGCACTGGCTACTCTTGCAGAGGACCCAGGTTCAATTCCCAGCACCCACACGGCAGCTAACAACTGTCTGCGACTCCAGTTTCAGGTGATCCAACACCCTCTTCTGACCTCTGTGGACATTGCACAACACATGTACACTTATGTACATGCAGACAATATGCTCATACACATAAAATAAAAATAATAAATAAAATATTTAAAAACAAAAGAGGGCGTATTGGGAGAGAGAACTAACACTAAAGACCTTTGAGAAAGTCATGTGGAAACCTGCTACTTTAGAAGCTTCATTTAAAAAAAATACACATATGTAAAAGGAATTTAAATGGAGTCACCCTTTAGTAGGAGGGAGGGGAGGGCAATGCCTCCCCCAAGACACCATAGGCTATCAAAACAAAAGCCCAGTGGCAAGTATGAGTTACTTCTCTTTAAGTCATTGGTCATTGGCGTCCTATGCACTCCAAAGATTACTATTGCCATTGCTCTTAGTTACCCTCCAGAACTTGATGGTAAGGCCCTATTACTAAAGACACCACACACATGAGACATGACATGAAGAAATCAAGTTGGTACTGACCTGGGAATTTCACCTCTATCAGTTAGCTTTCATAGTAACAAAAGATGCTATGCATACTACTGGGAGAGAAAGGTAATCAATAGTCTTATCCAGTTGTAAACCCTGCAATCTACAATAACAAATGAGCTGGCAAGACAGACCCACTGGTACAATAGTTGTAACCAACTACTTTCTGATTGGTTGGAAATAACCAACCACTTTCTGATTGAATTTAAAGCCTGCTCCACAAGACAGAACACAAGCCTGGTACTGTTAACTGGGCCAAAATTCCATTGTTGACTATGTCATAGGCCCTAGAGGAGAAGCCAGCACTATCATTCCGCTAAATTGACATAATTAACTGCCCTAAATTCTTATCTTTATACTCATAGATTAATGCATCTATCTACCCTCACAGAGAAGCTTCTTTTTATAGTAGATGGCAATTAATATAGAGACCTGCAACTGGTCAACATGCAGAGAGTAAGAGACTGTGGAGTACTCAGCTCTAAATAGGAAAGCTATATCATACCCCCTCCCGCCAAGGCTCAGGGATCATCTACAAAGAGGAGGAGGAAAGATTCTAAAAGTCAGAGGGAGTATAAGTCTGCAGCAAAACAGTATTTGCTGGACATGACAATGCAGTTGCACTCATAAATTCATAGAGGCTTCAGACAGCATGCACAAGACCTGCACAAGATCAAGCTGGTCAAAATCCCAGCACAGATATGGGAGGGGCAAAGTAGCAACTGAGGGCTGCTGGGGAAGGGAAAGTCAGTTCTCCTCAGGGATGCCATCACTGACAGGTTACTCGTGCTCCAGCAGACAGTTCCACACCCATGAACACACAAGCAACACTGAAAGGACTCAGTGGGTTTTTAAAAGAGACTACATGAATTTGGGAAGGCAAAGTGCTGGGGGAGTAGGTGGTAGTGGAGAAGAGGAAAAGGGGTTGGATTTGATCAAAACACATTATAAGTATATGTGAAATTTTCATACAAAACTTGTCAAGTTAAAAATTAAAAATATAAATATTTTTTAAAAACTGAACACAAAGACATGCACTTGTATCTCCAGTGCTGGGGGCAAGGGAATGTAGAGACTGGTGGATCCCTGGAGCTCACTGACTAGCCAGTCTAATTGAATCAGTGAGCTCCAGGTGCAGTGAGAGACCTTATCACAACTAGCAAGGTAGAGAGCAACTGAATAAAACCTACACATACACACACACACACACACACACACACACACACACACACATACACACACACCACAGTGATTAAAATGTTTTATGGTAAAAAATAATTTTGTGTTATGTGTATTTAGCATAATAAAAGTTAAATAGAGTAATGTTTATAAAGTACAAGAAGCCTGGTACATGGTTAAGTGCTAAATAAGTATTGATTAAATGCATACATTTTTCTAATTAGAAGGAAACAAGAAATGGTGTAAAGTAACTTTAATTACTTCCAATAATAATGATAAAGTAGTGGGCTTCGGTTGTAGCTCAGTGATGGAGCACTTGACTAGCACATGCATGGCCCCCAGGTTCAGCCCCCAGCACTTCAAAATAATAACAACAACCATAAAAGTAACACAGTAGGAAAAGACCTAGAGAGGGCCTGGAGTCTGCTGCAGGCTGTTCTGCTAGTCTAACACCAGGAAGTCTGGTACCAGACACTCCCTGCTTAGTGCCACTTAAACTTGCTGCTCTTGGACTTGGAGACCCCACTCTCCCTCCCCATCTATTTCTACCCCACTACTTTTAAATTTTTAATTATTTATTTAATAACCACATGATTAGAAGAAGCATTTCATTACAGCATTAACATACTCAGTAATCATTTCCAGAGCAAAGATGCATCTCTTTCAAAATTGGCTGTAAATTTTTAGGTTCACAGTTGAATTAATACACTTAGACAATATTGAACTCTATAATATATAAAGTTGAATGAGGTTTTAACCTTTAAAAATGATCTCCATTTCATTTTAAAATATATTGTTTCATACATAAAAAACATACATCTCTAATCTCCATGTATCTGATTATTACTAGTCACAGTCAGTTACTTTCTGAGCTCCTTGGCACCTGAGTGTGCATATAAAGTCATCAGGTAGATTTCAATGGCAATGTTTATCACCTCTACTAATTAATATGAAGCAAATTTTTATGCTTCTTCCTCATATATAACTTGGATTTTTATTTCTGATTTGTGTGTATGTGTGTGTGTGTGTGTGTATTTCATACAGAACATCCCAAACAATCTTATTCATCTATATACCCACATCCCAAATGGTACCCTCCCGTAGCCTCCCCCCAATTCCCACTGGAGCCCATATACTCTGTCATCCCATTTACTGTCCACTATGTTGTTGATGCCCCTAGCCGTTCCCCAGTGCTTGTCCATCCACTGAATCTAGTCAGCCTATCTAGAATTCCTGGTTTTAAGAAGATCAGCTCTTCCTCATCTAGCAGCAATCAGTTGCCAATATTCCTTTAGATAAGATTGGGGTCTGCTGTTTATTTTCCCAGTTCTATGCTGGGTCACTGTCTTCTACCCCACTACTTTTTAAGATTTAGTCTCTGTCCTTAAGAGTTCCATCAACTCTTTTCCTCTCTGCCTTTGAAAGTAAAGAAAGCCATGTGACTAGGACCCATTCTCTGACTCTCTGACTCAATGCCCATAAAATGGGAGCAATAACAGTGCTTCCATCATAGGAATGTAGAAATGAAATGCAGTCATCATTAGGAGAAGTAGGTACAGCAAAGGGATCTGACCTAAGTAAGCACTCAGTATTTGTCCATATACATTTTTAATGAATTACTGGAATTTGAAACTCATAAGAGCCTATTTAATACACAATAGGTTAGAATGAGTAATATGTTTTTAATTTAAGAAAATATTTTTAGAGGGTGACTTTCTTTAGGGAAAACCTGGAAGTCAGCAATAAAACATCAATTTCATGCCAAGACATCCAGAGCTGGCAGGATTTTACTTCCACTGCAGTATCACAAGCTATTATAGTCCAATGAGTCTTTCATGACTAATGCCTCATGTTGCGTGACATTTCACAAAGTGATTCTTACATTCATTATAGGCATGTTTAAACTTCGGAATCACCCCCATGAGACAAAGCCCACATTATACCCACTTTTCAGCTGGGAAAAGGGAGACTCTGGAAGGTTAAATGCTTTCTCCAAGTTCACATGGAAAGTCACTAATTCCATCAACATTCAAACCTTATAAAAACTTCTGAAGTGTTTTATAAAGTGGAGGTACAATCTGCCTTGCAATTTCAGGGTTTATAACCAATAAATGATACAGCAAGAGTTACAAATCCACAGTGTTTTGGGCTTATAGATATGGAGACAGATTAAAGATGGCTAGAGAGTCTTTGAGCTTGATCTTTATGCAGGGTCAAAATGCTACTGACTTAGAATCTGAGTAGACTCTGATGGCTCAGCCAATTCATTGTAGTAGAGGTTGATGCCCTGAAGTTCCCAGGCCCAGACTCAAAAGACTACAGCCCCTCCTTCCTATCTCTTGGAACTCTATCTAGGGGATCCAAATTGCTATGCACAGTTGTCCAATTAACCCTGTCTGAGATACTGCATGAGGAAGTCACGAGTTGGTATGGATAGAAAGAGGATAATGTCTCTCCACGATGCCAGGCTTGTGGACCAGCTGCCAGAGGAATACCACTAAAGGGACCCCATTGATCCTCACAAAGCAAAAGAACTGCCCAAGTGGCATGTGCTCACATTCCTGGAACACTAAAATACAGGTTATTCCTGGCATACTAAAATATGTTATAAGATGCTTGCTCTTGCTATTTTAAGATAGTAAGTTTTGATTGGAACTGTTTGGTATACAACAAAATATAATAAGGGGTAAAAATGTGTGTTTTATTTAGCCTGAAAAGTTTTTTGGTTTTTTTTTGTTTGTTTGTTTTTTGTTTTGTTTTGTTTTGTTTTGTTTGTCTTTTTGAGACAGGGTCTCCCTGCAGCCCCAGCTGGCCTGGAACTCACTATGTAGACCAGACTGGCCTTAAACTCACAGAGATCCACCTGTCTCTGCCTCCTCAGTGCTGGGACTAAAGATGTGTGCCACCACACCCGGCTCATTACCTATATTTTTAAAGGTGCAGATTTCATGAAATGATGAGGATGTCTAGCTCCTGTTGACTCACTGAATTCTGAATTCCTGCCTTATCTCAAGGTGGCAGTAATTTGATGGCACTAAGTAATGGTGATGTCCCCCAGGTATTAACTGTCATTGATGATTCAATTGATTTTTTGTCTAACTAATTCCTTTCAGTTATTCATATTGCCTGCTTGGCCTTAAAAATACCTTGCTCTAACAGAGTCATTTTGAAAAGCATAATGAATAATTATTTCATTTACCCAAATAGGCAAAACAGGCCTAACTCAAAAGATATATAAGTTCCACACCTGGATCAATGGCTTCTCCATCAAAGATAGTCTCATACACAGTGGCTTCCTTTAAAAAAGAAAAGAAAAGAAAAGCACACATTAGCAATAAGGCAGCTTGATAAAAATGAGTTTTGGCATATGTTGACTACTTTGAGCAAATGGCTTGTGATAAGTAGTCCCAACTGTCATCTAAGATGGAAACAGCCTAGAATCACCTGAGAAGAAAGCCTCACTGAGGGATTTCCTAGATCAGAGTGCCCTGTGGGCACGTCTGTTGGGGAATTGTCTCAGTTATGTTAACTGATGTAGGAAGACCTAGCCTGAAAGAGGGGACAACATTCCCTGTTTGGGGCTTGTGGTGGTTTGAATGCTAATGTCCCCCATAGGCTCCATATATGTGGACATTTTGTCCCCAGATGGTGGCGCTGTTTTCAGAGGTCTTAGAAGGTGTGGCCATGCTGGAGGAAGCACGTCACTGGGGGTGGGCTTAGAGAGTTCTTAAACCTTGCTGGGATTTCCAGTCATGTTCACTTCCTGTTCCTGTGTGACGATGTGAGGGCTTAGCTTTCTGCTCCTGCTCCAGCCCCCTCACAATGCCTCCCCACCTTGATGGACTCTGATCCCTCAGGAACCTGGAACCATAAGCTCAAATAAACTCTTCTTCCTAAAAGTTCCCTCGGTCATGGTGTTTTATCACAGCAACAGAAGAGTAACTAACACAGGGCTCTGGACTGCGTAAGAATAGAGAAAACTTGCTGAGTTCTCAGCACGCATGCATTTATTTCTCTGTGCTCTTGACTATGGATGGGATGTGACCCCCTACTTCAAGGTCCTGTCACTGTCACTTCAAGCTCCTGTCCCTCACTGATGGACTGTGATCTGGAATCATGAGATAAAACAAACCATTTCTCCTCTAAGTTTTTACTTTTTATTAGGACATTTTATCACAACAGCAGAAATGAAACCAAGACATAACTAATAAATTGTCTCATCTTTCAAGTCTGTTGAAGACTGGCAATTTAGGGACCTTTCTGCTGCCTTCAATCCCTCAGCCCATCCCCCACAGTCTACCCACCATGACCTCTGTTAACCCAGGCCCTTTTTAAATTTTTTAAAATTGTATGTGTATGAGTGTTTTGTCTGCATGTATGTAAGTACACCATGTATATGCAATGTTGCCCACGGAGGCCAGAAGAGGGCGTTGGATCCCCTGGAACTGGAGTTACAGATGGTTATTAGCTGCCATGTGGGTGCTGAGTTCTCTGCAAGAGCAGCCAGGGCTGTTAGCTGCTGAGCTATCTCTCCAGTCACTCACTCCCCCAGGCCCTTTTCTAATGGGAAATATTGTATAAGAGATGTTATAGGTTACACTGCTTCCCTCCTTCTACAGCTGTATGTTGATTTCCTAACTCCCCAGTATCTCAGAATGGCACTACATTTGGAAATAGGATCTCTAAAGAGGTAACAGAGGTAAACTGAGGTAACATGGATCACCACCCAAAATGACCAGTGTTGTAAGAAGGAAATTAGGACACAGACAGCAGACTGCCCTCAAGGCCACACAGCAGGACAGTGTACATCCTCAAGCAGAGAAGAACAACCTCAGGCAAAAACAAACCTGCCAACACCTTGATTTTGTCGAGCCTCTAGGACGCTGAGAAACAGATCTCTGCTGTTTAAACCACCCAATCTATAGCATTCTGTATGGCAACACCAGAAAAGTAATCCAGGAGATTGGTTGGCATCTGCTTCCGTAAGGAAGAGGAAGCAAGAGAGGGAACATGGAGAGGAGCCATCCCATGAAACAAGGCTGTGGTCAGTCAGGACTCAGGTAGGAATGTCCATAGTATGTGAGAAGCAAGAGGAAAGAATGACTGAGAGATGAAGACTAAATTCTCCTTTCTTGGTCTACACTCTGTTATGGCCCCTAGATCCAGCTATGCCTTGTGTATTTATGTGGACTATTCAGTGACTAAGCTTCAGCCAATTGAATGTGGATTGCCTTCTCTACGGGTAGATTACCATGTGCTAAACACTTGAAGGTTGAAGAACTTTCTCAGGTCTGTCACATGTATAAAATTATATATTTTCAGAGCTGGAAAGATGGTTCAGCAGTTAAGAGCACCGGCTGTTTTTGCAGAGGACCCAGGTTCAACTCCCAGCACCCATATAGTTGGCTAACAACCATCTATAACTCCAGTTCCAGGGGATCCAACACCCTCTTCTGGCCTTCTTGTGCATTGCATGACACAGGTACACTTAGGCCCATGTAGGCAATACGCCCATACACATAAAATAAAAATAGTAAATAGAATTAAAAATAAATAAAATGATATATTTTCAGATATAGTTTTAAATTTTAAGTGATGTTGAAAAATGATAGATTTCCATTTGCCTAGAGTCATTTTTGCTGCATGCACATATATTTGAGGCAAATTTTTCTCTAGCCAAATTCTAAGACTCAGTCTGAAATCCTAGCTTTGTAACACACATAAAATCATGAGAAATGATAAACTGAAATGATTTTATTTCCTTTCTATGATGTTTCAGTAGATTTTATCATATGTCTTTATGGAAGAACTTTTCACTATACAACAATAACAAACAAAATCTTATCTCACAAAAATGTACTTACTGTTAATACTTCTAGATTTTTACTTCTGGTTCCTGTGAAAACTTTTTGTTCTTTTTGATTTCTATCTCCTGTTGAAAAATTAATTAATTAAAAAAGTAAGTTAATAAATAAATAATAAACAAATAAATGGGCAGGTATGTGGTGAGCAGCATTTTTTTAATGTTTTATTTATTAGTGTATGAGTGTATTGCCTGTGTGTAGGTGAGTGCACCTGGGTCATGCAATGCCACAGGTATCAGAAGAGAGTTTCAGATTCCCCTGGAACTGGAGTTGAGGATGGTTCATAGCCTCCATGTGGGTGCTGGGAATCGAACCCAGGTCCTCTGCAAGAGCAGTCAGTGCTCTTAACCACTGATCCATCTCTCCAGCCTCATAAGCAGCATTTTTAAAGTACATATTTGGGGCTGACAAGATGACTCAGAGGGTTAAGGTACTTGCCACCAAGCATGATGACCTTACACTGGACCCACAAGGTGGAAGGAAAGAACTGACTCCTACAAGTTGTCCTCTGACCTCCAAATACATGCTACAGTAGCCCATAGCAAAGTAAAAAAATTAAATGCATGCCTGCTTTGGCAGCACATATGCTAAAACTGGAACAATACAAGATTAGTATGACTTCTATGTATGGATGACACACAAATCCGTGAAGAGTTCCATATTTTTTAACTAGCACCAAAGATGTTTGGAAAAGCCATATGGAAACCTACTATTTTATAAAATTTATATATGTTCCTCCAAGAAACCATAGGTTGCCAAGTAAAACATCCAGTGCCTGATGTAGAATATCACTTCTCAAGTTGTTCACCAGGGACATCCTGGAAATCCTCCCAAATAACACAGGCCATTACCATTGCTCTTGGCAGCACACCGAATTTGATAGTAAAACCCTATTGCTGAAGACCCCACCCACTTTGGTTACAGGGCATGAAGAAATCAAGTTCTGACCAGGAACTTTCCTCCCTGCTGGCTATCTTTCACAGTACTCGAAGATGCTATGCAGGGTTCTGGAGGAGGGGTAGTCATCAGCAGTCTTGCCCAGCTGTCGACCCTACAAGCTACAATAACCACCAGCCTGGCAAGATACACCCATAGGTGTAACAGTGGCATGAATGCTATGGGGGTAACCAACACCAACTGTTTTCTGATTGAATTTAAGACCCACTCCACATGAGGAAAAACATGTAAATCTGGCAAAGAACAAATGGTTGAGGAGTTCACAGGCCCTGTGGGTGAAACCACTACTATTACTCTGTAAAGGAAGATAGTGTCAAACCGCCCTCTAAATTTGCATCTTTCCATCCACAGATTACTACAGCTCTCAGGCCTCTTTCTGTGATGCATGGTGGTTAACAAAGAAACTGACAACTGGTCAAAGTACAGAGAATAAGTGTCAGTAGAGTGTTCAGCCACAAACAGTGCATATAAATCATACCTCCCCCTCCCATGGCTTAGAGACCATCAAGGAAGAAGGAGAGGAAAAATTGTAAGAGCCAGAAGTTGGGGAGGACCAGACTGAAACAGCATCTTGGAGATAACAGAACTGCTACACTCATGAGCTCACAGCAGCTGTGGTTGCCTGCATAAGACCTGCACAAGATCAAACCACTCAACACTCTGGTACAGAGGGAGGAGGGGCTCAGGAGCCCCCACCCCTAGCTGAAGAGCTCTGAACAGTAGATGGCTTCTGGGGAAGGGAGAGTTGATTTTTTTTAAGACTATGGTCCCTGGTACAGCCACCATTCTCAGTGGAGGGCCCCAAGCCCATGAGTATACAGGCACAAACTGTTTAAAAAAAAAGGAGGAGTAGGGATGAGAAGTTGGGAGGGGTGAGAGGTGGGTGTTAAATCTGGGAAGAGTTAGGAGGACACATAGGAGGTATGATCAAAATATATTGTATAAAATTCTCAAAGAATTAATAAAAATATCAAATAAATAACTGTAATTTGAAAGTGACATAATTCAAGCATAATTAGTAACTTGTATCTTACCTGTAACATACTTCATTCCTCTGTATAAAAAGAAAAATTGACAAAATATCAGTTAAATTAAAGAAATATATGTTAAAAATAATTTCGTCTAATAGTACATACATGGCTATTACCACATCTTCCCTACCCTAGCCTTTTTTTAAGTGAATAAGAAATAACAATATTGTTTTCATTAGTCATCCTCATCCACTTTACTGCACCATAAAGAAAAAATTCTACTTGGTTAGTGAAAATGCTACTGCAGCTCTAGAGACAGAGACAGAGACAGAGAGAGACAGAGACAGAGAGAGACAGAGAGACAGAGACAGACAAAGAGATGGAGAGAGAGACAGAGAGACAGAGAGAGACAGAGAGACAGAGACAGAGACAGACAAAGAGATGGAGAGACAGAGAGACAGAGACAAAGAGAGACAGAGACAGAGAGACAGAGAGACAGAGACAGAGAGACAGAGACAGAGAGACAGAGACAGAGACAGACAAAGAGATGGAGAGACAGACAGAGAGAGACAGAGAGACAGAGACAAAGAGAGACAGAGAGACAGAGACAGAGAGAGACAGAGAGACAGAGAGAGAGAGAGAGACAGAGAGAGAGAAAAAAAAACTAAGACTGCACCCAGAGCCTTGTGAATGCTAAGTAAGCATTCTATCACTTATTTTTTATTTGGAGAAAGGGTCTAAGTTAATCATGCTGGATTGGAACTTTCAACCTCTTGCCTCAGCCTCCCAAGGAGCTGGAATGACAGGCTGTGCCACCAGGCCTAGTTCCAACTCTGCTTTTGAAGCTATAGTATCCGCACCCTGAAAACTATTGTTGTATGGTGACAAAAACAGATGCCTTATCTCTCCATCTCTTTGGCCTCAGAGAGCTTTTAAAACAGTCAGATGCATGCAAAGGGAACCGACACTTAGTCTCTAAACTAATTCTAGTGATTGTCAAACACCTGTCCAGGAAACTGATTTGCCTCAGAATAATATGAGGTTTTGTTTATTTGCTCACAAATTTATTTGTTTTTAAAAAAAAAATCTTCCAGCCGGGCATGGTGGCACACGCCTTTAATCCCAGCAGATGCAGGCAGATCTCTGTGAGTTCAAGGGCAGCCTGGTCTACATAGCGAGTTCCAGGACAGCTGCGGCTACAGGGAGACCTTGTCTCAAAAAAGACCAAAAAAATAAAAAATCTTCCTACAAAGAGAACATTCTACAGTATCATCTAGTAGTACATTGCTGCTGTTCAGTTTGGGTACTATTTTGTTTTGTTTGTTTTTGTTTGGTTGACTTTTTTAGGATTTATTTTATTACTGTGTATGCATGTGTGTGCATTGTCATGTGCCCAGGAAGGACAGAAGAGGAAGTCTGATCCTCTGAATCTAGACTTACGAGGTGTTTTAAGCCACCCAATATAGGTGCTGGGAACCAAACTCTGGTCCTCTGTAAGAGCAGCAAGCTCAGTTAACCACAGAGCCATCTCTCCAGTCCCTGTTTGTTTGTTTGTGTCTTGTTTGTTTATTTGTTGAGACAGAGTCTCACATAGCCAAGACTGGCCTCGAAGTTGCTATGTAGCTCCTGCCTCCGTCTCCCAAGTGCTGGGACTAAAGACATGTGCCACCAAGCCCAGCTCTGTTGCTGTTTATTAAAGAAAGCTTCCCAAGTATTTCCAAGATAACATGGTTTGGGGTCTTTAGGCAGAATCTCTGAGAATTAAGATCATCAAACTTTAATTACTTTTACCTCTTTATAGAAAAAGCTTAGAAAGAAAAAAAAATCACCTACTTGAGTTTGGACTTGGAGACTTCCTTGGCCATTTTCTGAGAAGAGTCCATAACGTTTCCAAATCTCCAAAGCAAAAAACATATCCAGGAAACCAGTGCAACGAAGAAAATAGCCATCAGAGTGAAGATGAAAGGAACATACCAGTCACTGGATTTGTATGTGTTCACAGCTGTGTACACAATGGTCAGACCTTTTCTTTGCTGGAAAATTATTTCAAAGCAAACAAAGTATTAGTTCATGTTTTCAAAGCACATCTGCTTACACAGTGTAGCATCAGCACAGAGCTCAATACAGACAGTGGCGTATTGACTCAGACATGCATATTTTTAAGTACCCCAGGTGACATGAGAAACATCATAATATAAAGGGCCCACCAAATTTGGAATGTAAAGACTTGAGTTGCATGAGATGTCCCCTCTCTGATCCTGAACAAACCATGTCTCTTCTTTCCACCTCAGTCCCCTCACCGATAAAGTCAAGAGGTTGCTCCAGATGATACCTGAAGTCTTTCAGGCTGTGTACCACTATTATCTACTATACACACAATTAACCCTTTCCTGCAGCTTGAAAGAATAGTGCGTTCTTGAAAATAAAATGTTCTGGTAAAGACTTTGCTGCTGGTTAAAGCTGTAATGAAATGCTTCTTCTAAAAAAATTTTTTTTAATTTAAGAAAAAAGTCACCATAAAAAAAAAAGATGCAAAGTAATAAAATACATACTATGAAGTTTACTGGGCAGAGATTTCATCCTTTGGTGACTGATAACCCATTGCTTAATTCATCATTAGCTCTGAATATTTGTTTTATAAATGATAAGATATTATACTAAAAGGGGGCTGGAGAGGTGGCCCAGCAGTTACGATCACTTGCTGCTCTTGCAGAAGACCCAGCTTCTGTTCCCATCAACCACCAGGAGGTTCACAACTACCTGTAATTCCATTTCCAGGGGATCTAATGCTCACTCTGGCCTCTGTAGGGACAGCACCCATGTAGTGCACATATATACATGCAGGAAAAACATTTATTCATATAAAATAAAAATAAATCTTAAAAAAAAAAAAAACAAGAAAAGGGAATCTCAAGAACTGGCACAGCAGTTAAGAGCACTGGCTGCTCTTACAGAGGACCTGGGTGCAGTTCCCAGCATCCACATGTGGCTCACAGTTGGCTGTTAACTTCAGTTCCAGGAAACCTGATGCCTGGCCTCCACAGGCACTGCATGTATGTGGTGCACTTACATACATGAAAGTAAAACACTCATATGTATTAAATAAAAATAAACAAGAACTTGTTTTAAAGTAATACATCTTTAATACTAAAATACATGCTAAATCTCATAGAGTTAGAAGATTAAGCAAAAAGATGACTGCAAGCCACGTAATACAAGGCCTGGCAGATCATAGATGCCCATTATTATGCTAGCAAAGTCCTTGAGAGTGTCTGTTTATAGGGAGAATAGTAGGCCCTTCTGTTGGGAAGGACTTTCAAATTATTTATACATAACAGCTCAGGGGTCCTCTATGTACATGTAATTTTCACAGACTCCTGTGCATACAGTATGTATTCACAGATGTACACGATCCCAAAGGGCCCTGCAGTTGGTTGGGTTTGTACTGATGTGCAAAGGCATGTGAGCGAAGCTGATGCCCTGGTCAACCTTTTAGCCTTTCTAGGTGATATATGCCTTTGCAGTAAAACATTTACCACACAGAGACTCAAATGAAATTCTGTAACTCTTTACTTCAGAACTGGTTGGAGGAGGTGGCGTGCTGGTTCTTATCACATAAATATCTATGATAGCGGTGCCTGTTCTGGGCTTGGTGGATTTGCCATATTTCAGATTGTCATCAATTACATGCACCACAAGATGATAGCGCTGCTGCAGTTCAGCTCCAGTTTCAAAGGTAAAAGGATTCTTCACAATTAATTTTGGAGTATTTGAACCTCGACTTGGGTCAAATCTGAAATGCTGGTTCTCATTTCCTTTCAAAGGAATAATTGGAAAGTTAGAATTCTTTTATCATATATTGAATGACCTCAAATTACCTTAAAATTATGTTGAAACACAATATGTGTGCATAAATTAAGTTCTGTGTTATGCTGGGAATTCTCATATTTATAAATATCTTATAATATAATTAAAATAAGACAAGCAATACATATAGAAAAAAATGTCTTAAACCAAGCATGGTAGGGCATGCTTGTAATCCTATGACTTGGGAAATAGAGGCAGGAGAATCAAGAGTTCACGGTCATCCTTGGCTACATAGAGAGTTCAAGGCCATCCTGAGCTTTGTGAGACCCTGTCTCAAAAAAAGAAAAAGAACAAAAATGCTTTAAAAGTTAAAATCATGAATCTGATCCACACATCTGGCCAGCAATCTCATATTATCTGATTATTCTGGCTAATTGTTTCCTCTTCCTTTACTGTGACTCAGTATTTTGACTCATGTTCAATTTGGTCTAGATTAATATGTAATGAGCCATTCAGACCACAAGAACGAATTAGGCCTTCACAAAGTTAAGTCCTCTCTAGGGCCCAGTAGACACTATTATAAACAAGATGAACACATTCCCTTTCTCCCTGGCACTTATCAACTAGCAATGGATGTAAATATCAAACTAGTCTTCATAATTAGCTGGCAACATGTTATAGATCCAAACATAAATAGGTCTTATTTTCAGGGTCAAGATGAGTCACAAGATAGTGCTTTCCTTTATAGAACTTCTCTCAGTTTATGATTTTATGTGTTGATGGTACTCAGAGTTTAATGAACAGTGACATGAACACATTCCACATCTGTCTTGAAAAGTTCTATAGAGTATTTCTAGCATGGTATCTGACACATGGTTGGTCTCAAATAAAGGTCTTCTATACAAGCCATGATGGTGACTATGAAGCTTATCTGAATCTATATAGGTATAACAATAACACAGTCAAAAGCATCAGTCCTACTGAACTTGCTCCATGGATAGCAGATTTAGTTCCTTGTTCCATAACCTGCAGCATTTTCCCATGCAAGTCCAAAGCCTTTTTGTGGCCAGACTATCTATGACATCACCAAGGAAAAACTGAGTGGGATTTGTAGACATGTCAAAGGTGCACTGAGGAGACACGATGCTACGGATGTGACATAGGGTAACTTCATCAACAGTCCCATCTGGGGGTATATATCATGTCTGACATTACATGGCTAATGTCACTTTGACATATGCTTGTGATTAAAAGAAATGATTAAATTACCAGAAACTATTTCAAAGCGCATTTCAAAATCTTGTGAATCTCTGTCATGACAGTTTAGTTTCAGGCCATTGACATTTGTCCCAGCAACCACATTGTCAGAGATGACTGCCTCATATAGATAGGGTGTGCAGGCAGGTGCTTCATCGTTCTCGTCTTCGATGTCAACAGTGACCTGTCAGGGATGATGGGAGAAGAAGCCGCACATCCACATCATGTGACTATTTATACACAAAATCTGAAATGAGCATCTGGGTAGAAGCAGACCATCCGGAATTTTTAAATAAAAAGGCTAAAATTTCCTAAGCTTTCAGACAAGTTCTTGGAGATGTGGATTCCAGCTGTCAATCACTAGTCAGTGCCTTATTATTCCTGGGTCAACTGTGACAGTTTATGTCCCCATTAGGAAAAACTTTGGGCTCATTAGACAACTTCTCTGGAAAGCACAAATTGCACAAATGGTGACAAAAGCAAAACAAAAGATGTCTCTGAAGCTGTAGTCCCCTGGACTCTGCATGGTCTGTGGTTAGTGGCAAACACCCCCAGTGAGCGAGCTTCCTCCTGCTTAACTAAGGACCTCTTCTATGCTGTTCTTTCAAGCACAATGTCTGACCTTAATTAGTACTCTTATCAATCTTTTCCTAATTAAAATACTATAAACCAGGAAGCTGTGATTTACATGGGATAAGATCAAAATATCAAGGATTTTAAAATGTCAATAATCAAATGCCAGTCAGCTTAGAAATGTTATCTGCTCACCTCTCAGATGAATAATAGCTTTCTCAGTAACATTGGCGAAGAATCCCTGGTGTGTCTACATCTGCAAGTGCTATCTTTTTAAAAATTGTTTTCTATAATTTTTTAACAACACAGCCAAGTTCTTTGGAAATTCTTAATTCTTTACTGCGCATACCTCCTACCCCCGTGTGTGTGTGTGTGTGTGTGTGTGTGTGTGTGTGTGTGTGTTAAAGCACCAGGTGTGGGGATCAGAAGTCAACTTTGTAGAAGTTGGTTCTCTCCTTCTACCATGTGTGTCCAGGGGACCCTACCAAGGTCACCAGTCTTGGTGGCAAGTGCTGTTACCAGCTGAGCCATCTCAATGGCTTAAGAATTTTTAATGTTAAGTAAATGAATTGGGGACATTCCTGTGCCAGAATGGAGATGGCATTCATTCCACTTGGAGCAGAAATCTTCATTAAAACCCTAAGCCTAACACCTGGCAGTGCTTTTACTTTATACAAATGACTTAACTTGCTCCCTCAACTGTGAAAATAGATCTTCATCCTTCCCTTCCTGTGATCACTGGGAGAACAAATTATCCATTTGGTGAATATTAGTTGAACAGAACACTTACTATGTGCCAAGGACTGACCAACACATAGAAGCTAAGGTTGTGAAACAAACAGTCTCTGACCTGTTATAATTCATATTCCACAGGAGACCCAAAATAACAGGCCTACAAATAAATAATGTGTTAGGCGATGTCATATCGCATTGATGCTACGCAGTTGAGAAGTGAGAGACAGCTAATGGGAACTATTTTAAGAGAGTTTTCTGAGACCATCTTTCTTTGCTGACATTTTGTCCTGTTCCCCCATATCTATGTTACATACTTAAGCAACTATGTGTATAGTGTTTGGTGTGATTTTGATTTACATAAACAATACTGTTGTGGTTTGAATGTGGAATGCCCCCCACTGGCTATGTTTGAGCACTTGGTCCCCAGCATCTGGTGGCACTGATTTGGAACGTTGTGTGAAACCATTAGGTGGTAGAGCATTGCTGGAGGAAGTGGGTCATGGAAGGCAGGCCTTGAAGCTGAGTAGCCCAGCTTGGGTCTCTGTCCCCACTCTGCCTCTTGACTGTAGCTGCAGGGTAACCAGCTGCCTCAAGTTCCTGTTGCTCTGCCTTCCCTGCCGTGATGGACGGTTTTCCTTCTTAAACCATAAGGCAAAATAAACTCTTCCTCGCTGAAGTTGCTTCTTATCGTGTGTCAGGTCACAGCAATGAAACAAGTAACGAACACAGGTTGTGCTGCCATCGTTACTTTCCCATACACTTCCCTTTCTATGCTGCTGTTTGTAGAAATAGCTTTTTCTTTCTTCTTGAATCCTACCACTAACTAGCAGGCCTCAACGGTATTGAATTGATGATGTGAACCATGAAGGATAAACATTAGTCTTGATGGATTGGATAAAAAGAAGTTTGCATGGTTGGATTTTGGAGTAAGAAGAGATTTAGAAGCTAAAGAAAAAAGGTAGCACTGTACACCTTGGGAAGGACACTGGAGCCTAGCTCAGTGTGATGTGCAGGGGGTGGGCTCAGAGGAACAGGTCAGCTGGCCTTTTCAGGAGTTATTCTGGAAGCTACTGTGTGGGAAGTAGACGTCAGGGACACGAGCAGAGAAGGGCGTTCCGACAAGCAGGCTATCTCCTTTTCCCATAATGGAAAGTCAAATTCATCTGCATCGCCCATGTGGCACTTGCTATATTAAGCATCATGAAGGCATATGTAACAGTGTCTCACACTTCTTTGTAACCTAAGATGTTATACATAAACAATAAATATTCATTAAAAGAAGGAAAGAACAAACAAGTTCCTGCTTTATCTTCAGGCAAAGCATAAATTATTGTTATAAGAAGAAAGTTACTTGAAATTTTGTTTCTTTAGTAAATCTATTTATTTTGTTCTTTTTGAGACAGGGTCTCCCTGTATCCCCAGTTGGCCTGGAACTCACTATATAGACCAGGCTGGCCTTGCTATCCCAAAGATCTGCCTGGCTCTGCCTCCTGTGTGTTGGTATTATAGGGATGAGCCACCATGCCCAGCTTCCTTTTCATTTTTAATAAATGAATGATAGTTACAACTGGCGTGATCTTATATTATTGGGGGAATTTAGAAATGTCCACAGGAAAAACTGCCCAAGTAGCTCACATTAGTGATCACTCCCAGGAGTATCATCCTAACAGCAGAGCCTCATCAGTCCAGCCTCATGCTTGGATCCCCAGTCCTGTGAAAGTCATTCTAATTGTTCATGTGGATGGGTCTTATGTTTGCCTCACTGTGACATGCTCTCTCAGAAAACCCAATAACCACACAAGCAGGAAGTTAAGAATTCTGTACAGGAGGAAGAAATACCCCAGAAAATCATCAACCGAAGAAATGCTCCAGAAAATCTTACAGTAAACCAAAGAAATTCTCCTTCTAGAAGTCACTTCTGCAATGACAAAATCTTAGAGTCACTAATAACATGCACCATACAATAAATACAGCAGCATTTTTCATGCCTTTAAGAGTCCTCTTGACCTTGCTAAAATAATTTAGAGGCCCATACTTTCCTTTACTTGATGCTAAAAGAATGCACCTCCGTTCAGCTCTCAGTAGAAGGCAGCCTGGATTCAATGAG